ATCCAATAGTTATCCATACATTATTAGCTGGATGCTTATCACATAACTAGTGGAAATAATACATAATAATAAGTCAATAATCATTTAAACTATTCAATAAACATGATGCATAATAGAATAGTTTACCTCGGCATAATATGAATCATCTGTCTCATCTGTTATCTCAAGTGGAATCCGTTTAACAACCACTTCATCAGTAATAGGTAAATCATACAAGTATCCAAGTCTACCTCCCCCACCAAGAATATGATCAAATGGAATCCATTCCAAATAGGCATGATTTGCTGAGTTTGTTTGTAATTGAGATTTCTTGATAAACTCGTCGAGTTGCTTATTGTTGCTAGTCCATCCATCGGATAATTGTTTATGTCCACAAATGCACCACACAGGACTGCATCGGAGTATTCCACATGCAGCGCAGAATCCAAATCGAAGATAATATTGGTAAAAGTCACGCCAAGCAACCATATAATATTTATCGTCATACTTGGTAAATCCTTTTATAGCCCGGTTGCGATAGGAAACCCATTTGGGGTATCTTCTGAACTGATCAACGATGTCGTTATTGTCCTCGCGCGTTGGAAGTGAGTATATTCTAGCGAACTCAGTCACAAATGTTGGTGTGCATTCTTCGCTACTTCCAAGTGATAGTAACATTATATTGTCATTACAATATTTTGGCTTGTGAATAGCGTAATGAACGTTACTAGTTTGAGTTGGCCCTATGTCAGTAATTTGCGAGCAAGGAATCCATTCAAGTCTTAAGTATTCATTTTCGCTTTCCAAGGAGGATTGGACCAAGTTGTCAATTGTTGGATTATTAACAACCCCCGATGCTAACGACATGGTTTGAATTAAAGTGTTGAGAACCTTAATATTAAGATTTGCGCCATGAGGTGTAGTAAAAAAATTTTGTGTTACGCACGCACCTTTAGCATGTGATCATTAACTAGCTATAGCAGGTTACCGTTTAGCTTGGCAATAAAGTCGACATTTGTGTTGCATAAGCACATACGCGAAACAGGTTTTAAACCTATTCTTTCTTCTATACAAATGACAAAACAGAGAAGAGTTGTTAAAACTGTTAAACGTAAGACCCAAATTGTAATACAAACACGAAATTCGTACATAAAAAGGAGGTTATTGCCTACGCAAAAAACCATGGAAACAACCAAGCAGCAAGACACTTTGACATTGATTGTGGTATGGTAAGCCTTTGGGTAAGTGCAAGTTCAAAATGGACAACCTTCAAAAGGAGTGACATTCCTGGATGGCGGGTGGTGGTGCTGGAGAAACCGCCTTCGCCGCGTAAGTCTTGGTGATGTATGTTTATGGGTGGAACGTTCATGGGAGGGTATTTCTATCGATATAATTATTGAGTCCTTTAAAACGTGTAATATTTCAAATGATTTGGACTCGGATGATGTCATTGGTGAGACTGATATCACGGATTAATCTTTTCCGACAATTTTATAAAATAATCAATTTTTCCGAAGTGTTGCTTATTTTTCGGAAGAATACGGTAGTTGACGTAGTCAACCGGGGAAAAGAGACTAATTTAATAACTGCATTTAAACAAGCAGGTAGTACTTTTAATTTCGGCTTTTTCTCACTGTTTAGCCTCTTTTATCATGCGAGGATTAGCATAACATTCTCGGTATTCTTGCTCTATTCTTTTATCGATTGTTCCTGAGTTGCTCTCGACTCAGGTCATAGTGTTTCGGTTATAACAGAAAGATTGGCCAGATCAGTCCGGAGAAGTGGATCTTCAGTTTTGCTGGGCCATGATTTTTTTCGTTTGAATATGAAGCATATAATACACCATTTATGGTGCATACAGGCGTTTTTAATATAGCAGAAGTATTAGAACAGATTTTATATTTCTTAGCGGTAGATAAATCCCTCTATCCCACTCTATTTATTTGCCAGCATTGGTACAGATGCGGTGTCCCCACCTATGGAAATGCGTCGAGCTAAAGGGGAATGACCTATATCCTTATCATTATTTTCCAGATGAATATAATTATTGTGCAAAGGATAGCACTCAACTGGGAAGATTTATAAAATTAGTATGTGGGGAGCAAAGGCCAATTTCTAACACATCTCGAAATTACACGCTACCATCCACTTTCTATTTCGGATAAAAAAATCAAGGGCATTATAGGTTTGTGTCCAAATATAATTTATTTAAATTTCAAAGAGTAGTACGAGTTTTAGTGATAATGCATTAAGTCTGATAGCAGAATCATATCCTAATTTAAGATATCTCAATTTGTGGGACACTCGAGTAATAGCTGATAAGGTTTATGCACAATTGCACAATCATGTTACAAATTAGAATATCTTGATGTAGAAAAATCATTGTATAGAATTGCAGGAAGTTGTCATGAATTGCAAGAGTTCCGTTTTGCCGAAGCACATTGGATCATGGATAAATGTATAAGTTGCATCGTAAACCCATGCCCAAATTTACGAAGTCTTAATATTTCAGGTAGCAAGGGAGAAATCAATGATTCCAGTAATTTGATGCAAAAATGTCTCAATATAGAGTATCCTGATTTTGGCTTTTAGTAACGATACATTAACTGTGGCTATCTCCGAATTTAAGACAGTTAGTAATCTACGGTACAAATGCGTCGATATAACGACACGCTCGGTTCCAACCTAAATGGTCGTTGTACAAAAAAAAAAAAAAAATCAATTTTATTAAAAAATCTATCAATCTTCGTTTGTTTTTTGAGTTTATTTCTTGTACTGCAAAGTTTTTTTCTAAACTAGTTAACTCGTTTAGGAAGGATAAACTTACTTCAATTTTGCTTTGTTGTTGAATATAAGCCCTTAATCCCTTTGCATATCTTAGAGCATCCGATGCGCTAATAATAATGTTTAAAATATCTTCGTCTTCTCCAACGTCACTCCCATCTCCAGCGATTGTTGCGACGATATGGCATTGTGCCTCGCGCCACACTAACAGTAGAGTCAACTCCGATCCACTCATCGACTGATAACAAATCACTCTTGGCATAAGGAATCGCCTATGAAGTTGCCAAAGCTAAATTCTTCTGCATCGTTAATATTTCAGTTTTATTCCAAAAGTCTACGATTGTATTCACTCCAACCTTTTCCCACGCCATAGCTACAGTTTGTATTGCATCAAGAAGTGTGAAATTACTGGGTTGCGTTCGATTAGCACGTGCAGAGTTAACCGTTTCAATTCGATTAATGCAAAACAGCTTGCAATGATGTGATTTAAATGACCAAATAATACCAACGTTGCAAGGCTGCAGATGTGCTGTGGTATTAGGAGGTAAAAAAAGTAATACTACATTGCTTAGTTCTTCGTCTTTATTCCACTTACAGTATGTGATGAAGCATTATCCAGTATCAAGAGAATTTTGCGGTAATTTCTGTGCATATCGGCATTTAATTTACAGAGCCAATGCTGAAATATACTTGTCTGCATCCAAGCATTTTTTTCTCCAATAGTAATAAACGGGTAGACTTGCTTTACTGATTCCTTTTAGAGTACATGGAGCATTAAATTTGGGAATAAACAGGGGTGGAAGTTTATCGCCGCTAGCATTGCACGTAAGCATTACTGTCACCCGATTTTTTGATTTTTTGTCCCGGATAAACTGCCATGAGCAAGAGTTTTGGATGGCATTAAGTCCCAGTTTCGTCACAATTATAAATGTAGGATCTATTGTAATTAGTTGTCTTCGTTTGCAGATCCATTCGATATTCTAGAAGACGTTCAGATGGGGTGCTAGCTGCTCCACCCGATTTGGTAACCTCAAAAATGTTATGCCTTTTTTTAAAATGAGATAACCTGCAGTAAAGTGTGCATCTGGTACAATTAGTCGAGCAAATCTAACGCTTTTTCCTGAATAATAGGCCCATTAACCGAGATTCTACATTCAATAGCATTATCGAACCATAATGCCAAAGCGTCTTCGATCTGTGAAATAATGGTGCGCGTCGTCGTTTACATTTGGCTATAACTATATCGTTTTCGACATTGAGCCATCTATCGGATTCTAATAGAATTTCAGTGACAGAGGACCGCCCTATTTTGAATTCATTAGTCAGCTGTTGTTGTGTTAAATTGGTGTCGCGGGCTCGCTGGCAGAGTCGTTTGTTTTTGTTTTTTTTTTTGAATGCCGGCAAGACTTTTGCTTTTGTCTTTCTTATTTTTTTCGAACATAAAGACACCTTTTTGTCAGTCTTACTTCTTTTCGAACGTGGAGACACCTAAAGGTCAAGCATTATAATGATAGATTTTCTGCTTACCTTTTCTGCTTTGTTAATGTCATTAAGAATTAATTCTTATGCTTAAGCAAACGAACGAGATAAGTATTGTATTAATATTGATGAAAACTAAAATGGGAGCTTAATAAACAAAAAGGAGATGCGTGTCACTCAAATTTGCATACAACGACTGTCGTTAAATGTCGGTATATCCCGATACTTTATTAAGTTTTGTCCAATAAGCCTTTCCCAAAAAAGTCGTTATAACGAAAATTTGTATATAACATCGTTACATCGAATAAATTTCATTATATAGATTTTTTGTTCCAGAATTTTTGTCAGTATAACGAGATGTCGTTATATAGCAGTGTCGTTATATCGAGACGCACTTGTAATAAGTTACAACTAGATCTTCGGGATTTAATCCTCTTTCGGAATTTAGGATCAGGTTTCCCTTCCGCGGAACTGCGTGAAATCGTATGGAATATAATGGAAAACATTTACACCAACATCCGCTCATTCCGAACGTTGAAGGAGTTTCTTACCAAAAATGAAATTTATAAAGCAGTAGTTGAAGAAATGTACGCATTCTGCAAAGAAAATGCTTTAATTTCACTCTGGATGTACTGTATCTTTGGACGGAATGGTATGATGTCTCAAAATGGCTATTGTGGGCGCGGTCTCCCTGCGAAGACAAGCTTTCCGTCTTAAAAACCAGTGTACAATAAAAAGACAAAAATTTTCGCCTACGAATGGATCTTGTTGTATACATTTTAATGGAAAAAGTGGTCGTTCATCAAGAACGAAATTTACAACAAATTTATTCTGGGGTTGAAAAGCCAGAGTGGATTAAAAGCTTTAAGTCCGAATGGAAGAAACTGTCTGGTCAACCGATAAATCACAGATTTGGATCGATGGATATGCGGATGCCCATATTATCTAACCAGCTTTGTAAACATCAAAAGGGAATTCTTCAACCTCCTTTTTTGATGGAAACTGTGGCGTCAACTGATACAAATATTTACATCACACCAAATATTGGACAGTTGGCTGATGCAAACAATAACATCACATCGAATGTGAAGACGATAATAGACGTGCTTCATTTGACGAAATAAAAATTCTTTATTATACAGTATTAGATAAACTATTCTATATTAGAAATGAATCCATCTCAGTCCGGAACTCAGTTGTCTCGGTCCAGAACTTAGACATTTCCGTTGTCTCGGTCCAGAACTCAGTTGTCTCGGTCCAGAACTTAGACATTTCCGTTGTCTCGGTCCAGAACTCAGTCATCTCAGAGTCCCAAACTGAGGTACAACAACGTCTACTACGTTGTTTAAGGGTTTGAGGTACAGCCCCCTCCAATAAATGACAGGAGTGACACAAAATTTTAATAGTAAAACATATAAAAAGTCTTTGTTTTTAAAAATCTCCTGCTCTTCCGTACTATGTGAAGTGCAATAATTTTTGTATAGTTCTGAAGCTAATTGATTATACTTTCGAGAAAAATAACAATAAAAATTTATAAATTATCACTATTAAGCTGTAGCAAGTTGAAGCAGCTGTCTTTAAATCACGATATGAAAATATATGATTATATATGTAT